AAGTCATTCTTTTGGAAAAAGCTGTGCAAACCCAGGAGTGGCTGGGTGAAACTTTCCTGTCCAGGGCAGAGCGAGGCAGGCACCAAACCCTGGAGATCCAGCAGGACTGAGCAAGTTTCACTCCTCAACAACGCCCTGCAATGGGATGCTGCAGCTCAAGACAGGAGGTACTGATGGATGTTAAAAAAGCAAAGCAGCGTTCAAAGAATCACAGAATCACTAAGGCTGGTAAAGACCTCTGAGATCACCAAGTCCAATCCCAGTCCATCCCCACCATGCCCACTGACCACATCCCTCAGTGCCACATCTCCACAGTTCTTGAACACCTCCATGGACAGTGACTCCACCACTCCTTGGGCAGCTGTGCCTGTGCCTGACCACTCTTTAGGAGAAGAAATGATTCCTAATATCCAGCCTGACCCTCCTCTGGCATAACTTGAGGCTATTACCTCTCATCCTATCACTAGTTATCTGAGAATGTTGTTGCTTTAGAAACCATGAGACCACTGAGATCTCTACTCAGAGGAGCTGTCCAACCTGAGAGCACTAAGACACTTCTGATCCCAACGTTTCCAATGGGAGAAGCCAATGAAGTTTTAAACACTAAGCTTTGAAACTTTCTTACCTGCACACTGCAAATACAAATTCCCTAGGTTTGCCGCTGTTATACCCTATGGTAAATCTGAGCAGGAATATATGAGTGACATTGCTAAAAGAAGTAGCCTGTGACAAGCAAATGTGACTAGAAAAAACAATGCCCAAGAAGACTAGAGATACATCCACAGGATTCCCTTCTGTATTCTTCTTGCCATATTATTCCACCATAACATCCAAAACAGAATGCTTTGTAATTTGAATCAAGGTGCTGTGTGGTGGAACACTAAAAAATAACCCATAAAACAGTGCTATAACACTTCCAGGTGGCAATGGCTATTTCACAGCCACAGAGTGAAAAGCCACTCTGCCCAATGCTCCTCTCCAGTAGCCCGTGAGAGTCAAAAAGCCCACAGCATCTGTATGCCACAGTAACAACATCCATTGCTGTGCTCGGTCTAACAGCTCACAGCATCTACAACAGCAGAATGAGCCCAGTGGGAGGCAAGCAGAACAGAAAATACACGTAGTAAAACACAGTATGAAATTCATTTGAGTACATATGCACACACACACATAAACAGACCTGGAACACATTGCTAAGCATCCCACAGTTTCAAAGAGAAGCATTTAGTCACCCGTGAAAGCTACAACTCATTTCAGTTTGAAACAGAGGTTATCACACCAGGTTTGCAAAAGAATTCAAAGAATTTCTGCATGAAACCATAAATTGGTCAAGTTTGTAAAGCTTGCTGTGTCAACAGGAACCTACGTGAAACTTTTAAGGAAATACCAAACCACATACACAAATTTCATCTCTAGACAGTGTGAATCTACATACACAAAAGCCACAGCAACAAAAAATGCTTTGGAAAAGCCCTGTTTATAAAAATCTCCTGATTTCAAGCATACATCTCAATTTGCTATACAATCCTAGAAGAACTTCAGTCACAAGAACTGCCCACAACCTCCCTGCTGGATGCTGGTTTTTAACTCACTATCATGCTGAGTAACATTGCTTCTTATTTCATGACCTTCCTTCTTACGCCATGACCCTCCTTTCATCAAAAAGGCTCTGTTCTTTTTTCCTCTCTTCCTCCTTAACAAACCTATTCACACCAGAATTATGCAACAGCTGTGCCCAGGTAATTTCAACCTAACGCTGGTTTGTATGAACAAGAAAAAAAAAATAGCCTTATGAAAAACCCTTTTCAAAATAGAGCAAATATTAACATCCAACTCTGTACAACTTGCAACGTGAACTACAAGTTCCAAAAATGACAGATTCATTCAAGGAAAAGTAAAATACAAGACTCACGAAGGTTTGCATCAAATCAAAGCCTTAGAAAGTTTAGTTCACCATGAACAAACAGAGCAGCTGCTGCAAGGCTGTGAGGTGTGAATCCATGAGACTGCTGCAAACTCTGCACCTTCAAAGGCTGGTGTTGTGCTACAGCAGCCCCAGCTTCACATTCAAAGCACCACGGTCACGTTCACACTGTACCTTAACAGGGACGCTCATCCAACTGTTCACCTTCTCAGTGCAACGGCCAAAGCTCTTCTGTTTGGTATCCAATCAGGACGACGATGGGTAGTACACAATCAATCCTTATTAAGGCTGATAATTATCCTCGATGCGCCCTGGAAGAGAGAAACACCTGGTTACTGGCTTGTGCCAAGCCAAGTGAGCCAGCTTTCACAGATCAGCCACTTCAAGCAAATCATTTTTTTTTTTTTTTAACTGCCCCCAAAGGTTTCAACTTCATTGTGAATGATGGGGACTGTCTCATCCAACAGATCCTGCACATATAAGAAATATCAAAGTCTGCTTATGGTCTCCAGCTGCATGCTTCAATGGAAGGTGACTTCCAGATTGTCTGTTGGCATTCTAGTAGAGATTCCATGGCATTCATGAGTAAGGAAAGCTTTCGTGTGCATTACTTGGAAAAAAGAAGTGAAATAACTTTCAGCTGCATTAAAAATGCTCACAAATTTAAGGAAAAAAAGAGGAAAAGGGTCAAACCCACTGGCCAATCTGAAGCTTTTGTACTTATATACTCTCTATTTGAAGGAGTGTAGTCAACCTCAAGTCTGTGAAGTACCATGATTGTATTTGAATGATGTTGCATCTCAAATGTAGACAACGAAGCCTGGATTTTAAGAAAACCTTACTTCTGTTGTAGTTAACTTTTGAGTTTTGTCAGCTATGAGATCTTACTGTCTAAAATTGTAGCAGAGTGTTCATAACATATACTCATTATTTAGATTTATTTGCAGCCTTCCAGTATTAATGGCAGCTTATAATCAGGAGGGAGACCAAATTTTTATGCCAGTAGATAGTGATAGGACAAGGAGGAACGATTTTAAACTAAAAAAGGCAGATTTGGGTTAGATGCTAGGAGGAAATGTTTTACTTTGAAGGTGGTGAGGCCCTGGCACTGCTGCCCAGAAAAGCTGTGGGTGTCCCATTCCTGGATGTGCTCAAGGCCATGCTGGATGGGGCTTTAGGCAACCTTGCCCATGGCAGGGGCTCGGAGATAGATGACAATATATAGGTCTCTTCCAGCCCAAGCCATTCCATGGTTCCACGATTCTGTGAAATAAATCCATGGACTTCTAGCACTACAAACAAGAGGTAACAGCCTTACATTGTACCAGAGGAGTTTCAGGTTGGATATTAGGCAACATTTCTTCTCACAAAGAGCAGTCAGACACTGGCACAGTTGCCCAGGTGGGGCCACCATCCCTGGGGATGTTCCAGAACCATGGAGATGCGGCACTGAGGGATGTGGTCAGTGGGTATGGGGGGAAGGGTTGGGCTTGGTGATCTTACATGACTGTATCTTCCAATCTTAATAACTCTATGATTATATTAAGTACATCTGGAGGTACACCACACTGCAGAAACCAGGTAGAGTAAGAAGAGCTGAAGACCATTTGGGGTATAGCCCAATGTTATCCACTCAACTAATAATCCAGGAGCTTAACAAATGAAAAATTAGTCCTGAAGTGCTCTGCTTTACAGACAGAACAACAAAGAACATACATTGCTTGGCCAAATGCTGAAGAAATCTCCAGCCATACCAGATTTTGCATCCCAAACTACTCCACTTAACCCTAAACACAACTTTGTTTTATCTTCTCTAGACAAGGTAAGGTTTGGGAGCAGCACTGGGACCTACTGAGCTGGGCAGCATCTGGGGAAAAGGAGAGCAACCTTTGAAATACCTGAGCCCTTCTAAAGGGCTGGCACAGAGGAAGGTGCCTTCTGGACATTTCTCTTCCAATGTTTTTATAGTGAGCACCTTGGCATCCTTGCTTCACGTCTCTAATGGTGGACCTGAAGTAGGCTGTGCAATGCAAGATGCATTGGATTCACGAGATTGTGAGTAGTTTGGTCACTGTGATTCTCAGGTGGCAACACAGTGGTACTCTTTGATGGCACAGCCTCATCTCAGGCATTGTGTGCAGGTTGGGCACCACAATATATGGGCATCAAACTATTAGAGAGCATCCAATGGAGGGCTATGGAGATGGAGAAGGGTCTTTAGGACAAGGTGCGTGAGAGGTGATCTCCAATCTAAGGGAGCAGGTGAGTCGGGTGAGTATGTTAGCAAGGAGGAATGAAAACAAAAACGATTCCACCGAGCTGGTGGAAGAAACAAGTGGATTATTCCCTTGGCAACGAGTTTAATGGGACCCAGCTATTTTCTCAGCCATTCAGTTCTACACACATTCAGTTTCTGTGTGTTGCTCTTCCCAGTTTTAGATTTCGTTTTCAACCAGAGCTCACCACACTTCCCACACATCTCAACACCAAACCACACAAGGCTGCGTTGTGATGAGGCCGGGTTGGTCTGAGATAGCTAAAACACCTCTGCTGCTTTTATATCGATTTCATTTTTGTACAGTGATTTAAAATGAGAGGAGAAAAAGAGTAACTTTGGGACTGCAAAGAGCAACGGTGTGATTAGAAGGATCAGTCGTGTCTGCAGAGTCTTATTACAAGTAATTTATATGCAAGCAAAAAAAAAAATATTCCCTGTTTTCCTAGGAAAATGCCAAATTCCACAGTGATTTACACGCTTTGCAAATCTCATTGACTTCAGAGGGAGGGCCTGCAGTATAAATCACTGGACTGCAGCCTCCCAGCAATGTGGAGTAATCCCCTCGTATTTCACCTTCCACAAATCTTATCTCCAAACAGGTGCCATCACTAAGACCCCGTGTGCCCAGCCCCAGCCATGCAGCATACAGCCAATTTACCAGACCTCAGCTCCCCTATAACAGAGAATTGCAGCTGGCGTTTGCTCTGGGATGGGGCCAAGTGATCATTTACAACAATAGGGGAAATATTACACATAGAGAACATAGGGAAGAAGGTGAGAAAAGTACCGTTGATTTGAGGATGGGGGAAAAATACCCACACCCTTCCTGAGATGCTACATGAGACCAGAAACACCGAAGCTTTTTAGAGTGGCTTATTTAAAACAGCTATGGAAAAAGGATCAATGCTTGAGCAATTTAACCATGGCAGATAAACTGTTCCCTCAGACCCGAACTGGAAGGGTTTTCCCCCAGTTATAGCCGTGGTCCATTAACCCATATTCCCTCCCCACACAAGCCTTAGCTGTTTCACAGACTCTCACAGCTCCAATGTTCTATTTTAAATGGGCAATTTTGACACATTAAAGCTAAGCAGTTACGCTTTTATTACCCTATTATACAGCACTGTGACAGATTTCCCTAAAGAGCTGATGGTAAATCACAGCCCAATTACGGGCGGGTAAACTAATGAGAACAAGAGAGAAATACGTGGGGAAAAGCCACGATGACTTCACGGTGAGACCTCACCCATGACACAGGGCTTTGTGGGGCAGCGTCCAGCGTTCAATGAGACATGAGTTTTCACTATGCTTCTGGACAAGGTTTGATTTTTCAGCCTTCACAGCCCAGAAGTTGCCCCAAACCCATCCTCTGATACAACTGAGGGCATCTGATGTACTTGGTTGAACGCTTTCCAGCAATGTCACCTTGCTCAGATGATGGATGTCATCAGTTTCCCAGTGCAGCCCAGTCAAACTGGGCTTGGGATAACCCCAACCCATGCACAAGAGAAGGGTTATGAAAGCAGATGCTCAAGGCCAATGGAAAGGAGCCCATTGGAAGGTCCAGCACTGGGGCACCGTGCTCCTCTCCCCTCGATTTGTATTAATAAAGCCAGGAACATGTTACAGAGGAGGCTTTAAAACCCCCAGAGCTGCCAAAAAAATTAGAGCACAGTCAGAATTCATAATAAATTCACCCAAGTGAACCACACTACTGTTCAGTTGCTTTTCTGGGTGAAACCAAAATGATGAAAGTAAAGGTCTACCAACAATTACATCCAAAACGCCTCCTGCCCTTGCATGAATCTCTATTTTATTTGGGTTTCAGTGGTAGGTGGGCACACAGATCACAACTTGTGAGAGACAGATTACTGCTGCTAAAGCAGAGGGCTCTGTCCCTCCTTCCACTCTTAAGAAAAAGCACTAAAAATGCCATTCTGAAAGAGCTTTGCTTAAAAACCATCCCAGCATTCACAGTGGCAGATAGAAATTCAAAAAAAAAATGTTAATTCAAAGCAGCAAGAGAGCAATTATCTGGCCATTTCTTGTTTGTACACCACTGTATCCAACAACAAGCTGTGATCATGAGGTGCTCTGTGATTCAAATTTAGATGGATTTATGCAGCTACTCATCTCCCTACAGAAGGTTCAACCCATCGCCGTATCCTTCAGAGAGACCTGAATTTCCCTGTGTCACAGAGTCACTAAGGTTGGAAAAGGCCTCTAAGATCACCCAGGATCCAACCCCAACCCACCCCACCATGCCCACTGACCACGTCGTCCCTCAGTGCCACATCTCCATGGGTCTGGAACACCTCCAGGGATGGTGGCTCCATCACTCTTTGGAGAGCTGTGTCAGTGCACATCTTTTGGATAAGAGATTTTTCCTCATATCCAACCTGACTCTCCCATGGGACAACTTGAGGCCATCCCCTGTCATCACTGGATGAAGTTAACTGGAAGAAGAGACCGACTCCACCAGCACGAATGGATTACTCATGGTCACAAGTTGGAAGTAAAATTAACCCTTGAAGGCCAGCGTGTCCCAGGAGAGCAGGTCAGACCCAACTCACTCTTCTGCACAGAACCTGCTAGCCTCTCTACTTCCATCACCATGATAATTATTTTAATTTGCAGCTTCCTGATTTTGGCAGAGAAAGTCTTAAGAGCCCAAACAAGAACAATTAAATGCAAGAATGAAACGAAATAAGGCGCCAAAAAGGGCTGATGTCTGCTCCTCTACCCTTAAGTCGGATGAAAGATTAAAAGCTCAGCTTATAAGCTCCCAAGCAAAGGAAGGCACCATCAGAAAAGAGATCTCAAAAGCCAACTATATGTGCAGCTAAGCTCTGCTAGAGCCCCAGGATGCAGCCCTGTTGTTCCCATGAGCCAGGAGAAGTGATGGCTCAGCCATCCTTTCCAATGCCATGATGCCAAGCAGCCAACCATGCAAGTTTCTACATTACAAAGTACACAGGGTTAACGCACCCATCCAGGAAGGAATCCTGGGGATGCTCCTCTTTCTCAGGAATC